CCCCAAAACCCCAAAACCCCAAAACCCCAAAACCCCAAAACCCCAAAACCCCTATTATTTCTCAATAGATTGCAACAAATATTAAATAAATGGCTCACTTAGGTTTTGCAGTTCATCGGAGGCTAAGTCAAAGTATCTTCGCATTTCTATAATCAATTTTCTCTGGCTTCTTGGATTTGGTATCTATGGGGTCATTGAAAGGATTCACTTTTTTAATTTCTTCCTATCTCTGTATTTTTGCCTCAATTCAGCGAGTTGTTTCTCTCTTTTCTTCTTTGTTTCCATATATTGAAGGAAGGTCATACCTAAATAAATTAGAGTCAAACAAAAATAAAGAAGAGTTTAGATACATACCGATAAAAGATAAGAATATCATAGCTGTTCCGAGATAGTACGTCCAGCCAAATGATACGTGATCTATCAGACTAGTTGCTAGCATCCCCAAGGGGATGGTCAAAGATATCCCTAACTGAGTAAATAGAGGACCAAGTATGACAACACTTTTAGCCCATCAGAAGTCTGAAATTCAGGAACCTAAGAAAGCATTTAAGCTTAAAAACATCAGAGTCTTGCCATTTGGCCACCTGAATACTTCAATGCCTGTAAAGTGGAATATTGGGAACAGTGGTAGAAGGACGACTATATTGATAAGGCCAACATAACCTAAGAAAACTGACATATCAAAGTTCTTCTCAGCTTCCTCAGGAACTTTGTATTTCAAGAAAGTTGCATATCATCCATAAAGTAGTGCACTTATTAAGGTAAAGGCATCACCCAGAATCCGATTTTTAGCTTGTCCGTCATCATCAGACTCAAAAACAGTGATTACAGTTGCTCCACTAAATGATACCAGAACGCCAACTAATTTCAAGAATACAGAAGTTTCGCTTTTCAGAAATAACCACGAGAGTAAAAACACAAATAACATAGATGTATTTGACAGAATTGTGGAAGAGCTCAACAAAGTGAACTTCAGACCTGCATTATAGAAGTAATTAGCTCCGAACCAGATCATACAGAACATTAGACTAGTCATGAACATCTCCTTATTGTTAAACTTAACCTGAGGTGCTTGCTCCTCAAGTTTAGAATCATCAATATCAGAGGTGCTCTCATTGGAGGATTCTACTCAGCTTTGGTCGCCTAAAGAGCTCATAAGCTTTACTCTTTCTATACAATATGGAGATTTTGAATTAAATTACCTTCACTTGAGTCGATGTTCCCTGATGCTAGCTCAGCAGTTTCAGAATCGTCTTCGGTAGGTGGCCAATATTTCTCCTTAACCATCCTGATAGCTACTGGGATCAAGTATAGTACAAAAAAGGACGTTGCATAGTAAGTCAGGAATAGTGGCTGACCAAAGTCTGTGTCATTTGAAGCGAATATGATCTGGATCAATACCCCACTAGCAACCCAGAGGATAATTACCCCAGTTAAGTAAATTCCTCCTGCTATACTCTGCACCCATTTAGGACATGATGAAGCCATTATAATTAATATTCAGTAGAAGTTGGTAATTTGGGGTTTTGGGGTTTTGGGGTTTTGGGGTTTTGGGGTTTTGGGG